GGCCTAGACTTGTCTGCTGTGGCCATTTGGGGAATGAACCAGAAGATGAAGATACATCCCTGGCTACCCATCTCTCCCTCTCTCTCAGTTGCTCTGCCTTTCAAATAAATAAATCTTTAGAAAACTGCTAAGTCATTGTCTTGGTAGACATTTTGTCTACCTATGAAAGAAAACCTAGAACTCAAACACACTAGAACTCAAAAGTATTTTATACTTTGTGTTTCTGTGTGGGTACAAACTGTTGAAATCTTTACCTGATATATGCTAAATTGATCTTCTGTACATAAAGATAATTGAAAATTAATTTTGATGTGTATGGAAGGGGAGAGGGAGTGGGAGAGGGGAGAGTTGTTGGTGGGAGGGAAGTTATGGGGTGGAAAAAGCCATTGTAATCCATAAGCTGTACTTTGGAAATTTATATTCATTAAATAAAAGTTAAAAAAAAAAAGAAAACTTCATGCCCTCTGCATCTCCTCCAAGTACCCACAAATTTCGAGAGCACCCCTTATCCTGTTCAGTGAATGAGAGAACTTCATAATATTTGGGTAGGAATTTGGGAGGGTTAGCCTTAGACACTGAATTGTGGTCCAACTTTAGATTTTCGGACACTAATTCAGGGTCATCCAATGAACTAAAACTATAGCCTTTCTAACAGGAACAAGCACCAGCAGAAATTTTTTTTCACATGAGAGACCTGGATGAGGCTCCTGGCTCCTGGTTTCAATCAGGCCCAGCACTGGATGTTATGTCCATCTGAGGAGTGAACCACTAGCTCATGGAAGATGTCTCTCATGCTCTCTCTCTCTTCCCCGTCTATTTCTCCCTCTCTCTCTGTAACTCTTTCAAATAAATAAATAAATATTAAAAAAAAAAAAAGAAAGGAAAGAAAGGCTCAACCATTTCCATCCAAGGTGTTACCCTCCAAGGGATCATGGTCACCCGGAGCTGCCTGCTGGGTAGGCTGAGGCTTCGTCAAGTCCACTTGTCAGTTCAGCTTCTTCCTCCCTCTGTACGTTCCTCTTCCACCTATTTTTTCCATAGGTTTTGGTCTCTAACAGACATCTTGCATCCAAGCCTCTATCTTGCTGTCTGCTTCTAGCTGAAGACTGCTGCCAACACAACCATTTTGCTATTTTGCTCACTCTCACAACTCACGGAAGCCCTCACAAGAGACAGACAAAAAAGACATAGGCAAGTGATTGACTCGAGCTGGTGCAGCCAGTGTCTCAGGTCCCTGGACACAGGTTTGTAGTTCACAGAGCAAACGCCTGCTCTGCTCCCAGGTTTCCAGTGACTCTGCCTTCCTGAGCTCCCAGCTTCTAAACCCAGGTTTTTCTACAAATGAGCCCCTCTCCCCATATCTACTTGGAATGGTTATTTATTATGCTAATTATCATTACCCAGAGGTCCCAAATTCAAATGCTTCCTGGTGATTGTCCAATAAAATTAGTAGCCAAAGCTGGCCGGTGCAGGAAAAGAGATATGGAGCTGTTTGTTTTGCAGTCAGCGTAGTAACTCGCTACCTCTCCAAATGCCATGCTAGGACCGACAGAGCGTCCAGTGCTCTGACCTTGCCGCCGGCTCGTGGCACTCGCTTCGCCCTGGCTCAGTCCTCTGTGGCCCCTGTGACCTTCTTCCTGTTTCCCCCACAGACCCAGCACTTTCCAGTCTCTGTGTTAGCCACGCTTTCTACCTGGAATAGCCTTTCTCTGGCTACCTTGTATTCTCCAGATATTAAATGTCCAATCTTCCAAGAGCTTTCTCTACTCCTATCTAAAATGGGCCCTAACCTCCTCTCCCTGTGATCTTTATTGCATGCCCATTACTCTCTTCCATGGAACTTCTTACGGTCCATCTGTTTACTTAATTTCTGTCCACTCCCCTCACTCTGAATTCCAGAAGGGCAGGCCTCATCCTTCTTATTCAGTGTTCATTACTAGGGCTTAGCATAGTATCTTGCTCAAGATGTTTTAAATAACTGTGCTTTTGCCTCCTCAAAAGCCCTTCTGCAGGCTCCCGTCAAGCTGCCTGGTTGGGCACTGTGGTCAACCACTTTTCCAAGGAAGGTCATTCCGTTTTCTTGCTATTCTGTATTCATCCCCTTCTCTCTACGTCCTACGCCAATGTCTTAACACAGACACTCATTCTACTCTTAAAACACCGCCACACTCCCCTAGCAGGTCTCCCTGACTCCACTTTCTCCCTCTCGATCCTCCATCCCCTGTCAGAGTGACCTTTCCAATATGCAAATCACTCCCAGGCTTAAAACCCTTTCAATGGCTCCCTCTTGCCTATGGGATAAAGTTCAAACTTCTTAGTATGATGAGCAACTCTGAGATCTAATCCTGTCACACCTTCCATTTCACCACTCCTCTGATAACCCTGATCCCACAATCTCCATCACTCTTTCCCTGCCCCCACCATCTACTCACTTCTGCCTCCTAAGGACTTCCTCAGTACACGCACTTCTCTGCATCCCCACTGCTACTAAGCTTGTTCATCCCTGGGCTGGACAAGCAAAGCATCTTGTTCCAATGGCACATTGCCTTGTCCAGGTGCATACATCATTATTAGATTATTTTCCCATGATTCCTAGGGACCTGACACAGCAGAGGGATGCTTCAGCGTGTGTTCATTCAAACACAGGAAATAATTAAAATTTAAATCATTTTCTTCTCTGCTTTTCTGTTTGTGTAGCCTTTGATCTTTAAAAGCTTTTCAGTGTATCTTCATCTGTTCCTCATTTTCCCTATTAACCAAGTGTTTTCCCCACAAACTGCCCTAACCTCCCTAAGCTATTCATTTGTTCATTCATTCATTCATTCATTTCCCATGAATTGTCACCAGATTCCACTTCTTTCCCTCGTTTCTGGAAAAATGTCAGGGGCAACACATGTTGGTAGGAGAATGTGGTCTGAGCACCCCAAGCTGGACTGATTACCATGCATGAGGGCACTTTAAAAAGTTGGTGGAAAAGTAGAATTAAAAGACAGGTATAGGGGCAGGTGTGCACAGTTGGTTAAACCACCACACGGTTGGCCGGCACCGCTGCTCACTAGGCTAATCCTCCACCTTGCGGCGCCGGCACACAGGGTTCTAATCCTGGTCGGGGCGCCGGATTCTGTCCCGGTTGCCCCTCTTCCAGGCCAGCTCTCTGCTGTGGCCAGGGAGTGCAGTGGAGGATGGCCCAAGTGCTTGGGCCCTGCACCCCATGGGAGACCAGGATAAGTACCTGGCTCCTGCCATCGGATCAGCACGGTGCGCCGGCCGCAGCGCGCTGGCCACGGCGGCCATTGGAGGGTGAACCAATGGCAAAGGAAGACCTTTCTCTCTTTCTCTCTCTCTCACTGTCCACTCTGCCTGTCAAAAAACAAAAACAAAACAAAACCACCACATGGGACACCTGAATCCCATATTAGAATTCAAATCTGCTACTTCATGATTACGACTCAGCTTCCTGTTGATGTACATGGGATGCTGCATATGATGACGCAAGTACTGGGGTTCCTGCCACCCATGTGAGAGACCCAGATAGAGTTCTGATTCCTGCCTTCAGACAGGCCCAGTCCCAGCTATCGGAAGCATTTAGGTAATGAACCAGCAGATGATTCTGTCTCCCTCAGTCTCCCTCCCACTGCCTTTCAAATAAAAAAAATGCATAATTGTTTTCATAATATATGTCTTCAGCCAACTTTTTGACGACTCCTCATTGCAAGGATTAATTCCAAGCCCCAAATACCAGTAAGCCGAGGCTCTGTGCAGAACTGGCTCCAGTCGAGGCAAGGTGAGCCTGAGGATGGAAGGGCAAGGAAAATGGGGTTGACACTGCCCATAGCCCACTGCCGCCTCGCTCTCTTGTCTTCCTGCAGAGTCCCCAGGGGGAGAAATTATCTCCGTGAATCAGGGGCTTCTGCCTCAATTTGTTAAGACCTTCCTTCTGTCCTTTTAAAATATCACTGTTAATACCCCCTTGTGGCACTGCCACAGTCCTTTACCCTTTCATCCAGATATTATTAAAAACTCGTGTCAGAAATGGAATCCTCTGAAGACCTTGTAAAAGTCAGCTGTGAGGCCCTGCTACTAGGAGCCGCTTCCTCAGCCATGATTTCTGCAGCTTGCTCCTCGAGTTTTCAACCTCCTGATGGAAAACCCAGAGTAGGCTGTCCTCCCTCTCTCACATTGCTTCCTTCCTGGGCTTGAAACCGTTCTTAGAAGGACAGTCTATCAGCTTTGCACTTGTTCCTTCTGTAGTTTCACACATAAAATCCTCCCACTCTCTCCCACCCCTTGCCTTCTCACCCCATCCCACATTGGTCTTGCTCTACAGTCATTTTTGTACCATCAGGGATGTGTCCTGCCTTAGGATGCTAATGAATGGTGCCTTTAAGGCTCACTGAGGCATTTTGTTCATAGCTCTCAGTGTTTTGAAGGAGCAGTTTTAATTCAACAATTTTGATGTGGAAGCAAAAATATATAAGTGGTGTTGTATTGCTAGGTAATGCGTTGCAGTGCTATGAGTTTAATCCACTGTAGCCAGGCACAAAAAAAAGCCTTACAGCTTTTTTTTTTTTCTAAATTAAATTAAATCTGGCTTCAGTATGGTTAAAAGGAAACCATCAATCTTGGTTATATTCAGTGACCCTTCCACCTCCCCGAAGTCATGAAGTAATAACAATAATTGTTACTATTATTATTTTATTATAATTATTTAAACATGGAAGACACATAGTACTTGCAGCGTTTCAATGTTATGCCAAATGTTTTATCTTTACGAATTCGCCTATCATGCAGTCATGGGACTTTAGCACTTCTCTCTAACTCAATTTTGCAGATGAAGATATTGAGGCACAGAGAACATCAGCCCAAGCTCGCAGAGTGAACCCTGGAGCTGGCATTGGGACCCCAAGGCTTCCTACAGAACCTATGCTCTTAACAAGCACAGAAAGCAGAAATCCTAGGAAGAGGGAGAGGGCCTTATCCTTAACCCACTGTGGCTGCCATTGTTATCTGCATCTCCTACTCCAGAGAAGGCTGCTGTGTCTGAACTCCTGGCCATCTTTTTCTAGTAGAGTCTTGTCTCCTGCCCCTGACCACAAGGCCAACACAGAGATCTTGCCCCACCTCCTCAAGGCTGTGGGTCTTGATACCAGGTTTCTCTGCATCCTATGGTAATCTCCAGCCCAGGACACTGTGTGCAACTGGAGTATAGGTCTCTGGATGTCTTGGAAATCCTCAGTTACCAAATTTTCCCCAGTGCATGAACCAACCTTTGAAGCTGAAAGTCTGGCTCTTCCTCCTCAGATTGGAGCACCAGTCTCTCTTTGAGGGAAGGAGAATAAGCTCTCCAAGCAGTCCTGAGCACAGACATTATGTCCTCCCTGCTCACTGCTACCTTCAAATGGAGGGCGATAAGCATTCTCCTGGTTGGTGTGGGACTGAGAAAATCCCTGTTGGTCGGAGCGTAGTGATGCACAGTACTTTTCCTCACCTTGAACACCGATAGCTGTAGACTAGTCCTCCAAAAGCCTCACCACACTCCCCCGCCCATCGCTGGACGTTACACCTCTCACCTCCATGCTACCCACCTCGTAATGACTCAGCCTTCATTGCTCCTCACCCGCCTTGCACTTCAACTTGACACCAGTGCTCACACGCATTGCATACACTATGGAGAGATGCAAAAATTGCATTGGCATTTTGGAAATTGATTTTTCAAAAGGAAAATGATTAGCTGTTCTTTATTCTGCTCTGTCTATATGTATGAACTGTTCCTTCAGGTAACCAAGTAGTTGGGAATGAGAAGTATCCCAAACAGGCAGTGTATGAAGGTAAAAAGGTAAAAGGTCACCTTCGCAAGGCTTCTTGAATTAGTAGATAAATAATGATCACAAATAGCTGCCAAAAACCAAAATCAGACAACCAGTCATCCCCTACTTCTTGATGGAAACAAAATAAAACACCACCCATAAATAAAAAATATCCGATTCTGGTTAAGTCTCTAAATCTATGTCACTATTGGCTACTTGAAATGTGACAAGTACTGAGATGAGCTGTAAGTATAGCTTCACGCCAGATTTCTAAGATTTATTACCAAAAAATAGAAGATCTCTCTACGATATGGTTGATTGCATGTTCAAAAATTGTTTTGGATATATTGGTTTAGAAGCTAAATAAAATATATTATTTAAAAGATTACTTCTTATCCAAGTACTAACCAGGCCCAACCCTGCTTAGTGTTCAAGATCAGATGAAATCAGATGCACTCAGGGTGGTAGAAAGTTCCTGGAAACAAAGAACCTTGATTGGCCATGGAGCAGAAATGCACTGGTGATGGCTTCAAGCATGGAGGAAGTGGCCAAGACCAAAGGAAAGAACGTGGGCAGCCCCCAGGACAGCAGCAAAGGCAAGGACAGACACTCGCCTCTGGAGCTTGTAGCTGAGCTGCTGAGAGTGCATTTCAGCCCAGGAAACTCCTGCCAGAGTCCTGACCTCCATAACTTAGAATTCATTAATTTGTGTTGTTTAGCGCCATTACACTCACAGTGATACTTGACGGCAGCAAAGAGAGAAATACCATGGAAACCTATGTTGTGTCTTTACTGTCTCTGCTCCGCACGTACTGATCTGCTCTGTGATGTCTCCTGTTGTGTTGTCTTACCCCACAGTCACACTTCGCTTCCTGAATGAGACATGGAGGCAGCACGTGGCCTCCTGCACATACCTTCCGTGTAATTTATGAAAGCCCTCCTCTCAAAGTGATTTGCTCAGATTCAATTCAGTGATGTGTAGCATTCTGATCTATGAAAATTCCACGACCATGAGGCAGCTCTTGCTTAGAGAGTGAACCCTGAAGTCCAGTTCCAGTTTTCCACTCTAGCTGCAGGAGCTGTAGGCAGTTTAACCAACCTCTCTGAGCCTGACTTTCCCTTCTAGAACAGAGGACTTAGAATCTCTTCATTCCCATTCGCTTGATTGTGGGTTTTATGAAGATAACCATCCACCTGGTGAGAATGAATGTTCTACAAGACTCTGTGTTTTCCTCTCTCATTTATATTTTGCTTTATGACTCTGCCTTAAGTGTGCATGTCAGACACATGCAGATACTAATGGAGGTCAGTGGGAGTCACTGCCTGTTTAGCAAAGCCTGCTTTCCCAGAAGCTCTGAGTAGGATCTAATTAACGTTTAACACCTCTCAGTGGCAGCGACCTGAGGGTTAGATAACAATACCTGTGTCACCAAGTTGTTACTAAAATTAAATAGGATAACTCATGAAAATGGCAGAGCCCGTACACAGAAGGCTCCGGGTGATGAAATTACAATTCAGGGAGTAAACATGTCGGCTCTTTTTTCAGAAACTAGGGTGTATTTGAATATTTACAAAATCACCCCTTCGCTTTTACATTGGCAAACTGAATTATCTGAATTCTCTAAGTGGATACTCTAAATGAAAGTCTTTATGCAAAAGCACTTTGGGAAGGTAGAAAATGCTAGATGTTACTGTAAATTCAATTTTTTAATTATATATTCATTTTTGTAAATCTTTCATTCCCAGAATAGAGACACCCTATTGGGGGAGTGTGATGTGAAATGATAGGACATGCTGGGAAGATAAATGTTTATTTTGGTTTATCAGTTTCTCCCCCTATGGTATCTGAAGCTCACTCCTGAGATGTTGGGGAAGCTTTAGAGATAGGTTGGACTGAACTTGATTCTCTTTATTGTCTTCCTAAATGAAAAGGAGACTGATAACACTGTGTGTGTGTGAGTGTGTGTGTGTGTGTGTTGTGCTGTCTTATTTTCATAGAAATATCAGTGATTATTGAGTAGTTGCTTGTGACTACTAACATTGGGCAGCCCTGAATCACAGTCTGGACCTACGTCTTTAAAAAGAATGGGAACACTGGCTAACGGCTTGCTTTAACATAAAATGGGAATAACAGGCACAGGCATTTGGTGTGGCAGTTAAGCCTCTACTGGGGATGCCCCCAGCCCAAATGGGGAGGGCTGGGTTCAAGTCCTGGCTCTCCTCTGCATTCTTGCTTTCTGTTCATGCATAACCTGGGAAGCAACCGGTGATAGCTCAAGTTCATGGGTCCCGGCCACACAGGTGGGAGACGTGGAGTGAGTTCTCGGCTCCTAGCATCAACCTGGTCCAGCAATTGTTGTAGGCAATTCCTGAGTGAACCAGAGGATGGGAGGTCCCTCTGTGTCTCTCTCTTTCTCACTGTTTTTCAAATAAACAAAATAATTAATTGTTTTATAAAAAGTGTGACTAATAGTAATAGATTTTTCAAAGGATATTGTGAGAATTAAATGAAACAATCCCTGTGGAAAGGGTAGTGTGGACCCTGCATGAGGGGTATTCTACAGATAACATTTGTTTTTAATATTTGTACTTCTTTGGCCAGACTATTCAAATAACAGATTATTAGGCACGTATTACAGAGATGAGGGTGAAGAGAGTAACAGTTCCCTCTCTGAGGGTGTTACAGGCTCAACAGCTAGTGACAGAAATAAGTGAGTATGCCAATAATGATGATCCCTGTAAGCGTTTGGTTGGAGGTTTTCTTTGTTACCTCCTCCAGGAGGTGGTTTCCTAGGGAGAGGACATGTTGGGTGGGGAACGGTAAATGAGACCATAGACCCATAAGGCCATCAGAGGTTCCATGTCTACACAGATTTCTCTGATTTTCACATCACGATCCTTTCAGCAAGTTTCGACTCACTTGAAGAAGAGAGGCAGGGTGCAGGCACATGGTTCAGAGGTTAAGTCACCACTTGGGACGCTCACATCCCCCGTCGGATGGAGTACCTTGCCCCACACCCAGTTCCTTCATTTCCAAACCAGCTTCCTGTGGCTGCACACCCTGGGGAGGCAGCAGGTGATGGCTCCAGTACTTGGGGCTCTACCACCCACGAAGGAGACCCAAACTGAGTTTCAGTCTCCTGGTTTCCACCAGGAAACCAGCTCTGGCTGCTATGGACATTTGTGTAGTAAAGAAGGGAATAAAACATCTCTCTGTCTCCCTGCCTTTCAAATAAAAATAAACACACAAAAACTGTTTTTAAGAGAAAGAATAAAAGAGGAAATTACTGTCCTCAACATTGACACCATTCCCTGAACCACAGTTTCTCAAATTCTGTTGTGCGTTTGGTTTCCTGCAGGAGTTACAAATGCTCCTCTCTGGATTCCACTGCTAAAAATCCGAGTCAGGAGCTGCAGGCAATATTCAGACACCTGTATTTTTAACACCCTGCCCAGGTTCTACTGATGCACAAGAGAGTTTGGGGACCTCTGCCTCCTTCTGGTCACCTGTGAAAAAGGGCCCCTCCTTTTGTCCAGAAGCATTAGATCTCCCTTTGCCAAGCCACCTTGCATTTCTGCGCCTGTAGAGAGTCCCCTGCAGTGAGTTCAGCTTTGCAGAAGTTTCTGTACCTGTGCTGAAGTTCCCAGCAGAGCCTGGTACGTCTCCCTGATTGCGTGCAAAGGCGTGCAGATGGGTGCAGCTGTCACCGGATGTAGGTGGGGTTCTCCGCCATCTGCAGAGGCCCCCGTTGGCCCATCTCTTCCTTGCCACAAGTTTCTCTTACTTGGACTTAGAAACCCATGAGAAAGGTTCCCGCTTACCCTTTCTGTCCTGCCTGGCGTGTGTGCTTCCCAAAAGGATCGATAGTTCCCACTAAATCCCTGGGAAATTTAAGGCAAAAACGTTGCCTTGCCCTGCTTCCTGGCAGACCAGTTCGCCTCTGAATTTCCCTGAGGATGCTGTTTTCAGAATGGGGTGTGTAAAGGCAGAAAGGCAAGCTCTGAAATGCAAGGAACCCCCTCTGGTTTGTCAGCAGCAGTTTGAGCTCATCTCTAGCCACAGCGAAAGGAAAACTAGAGGCCTGCTGGATCCCGAACACCTCGCTTCACTGGTTTGTGCAGAAAGCAGCACCTGATGTGGCAGGGCAGGAGGCTGTGCAGCTGGCCACTGGTCAGGAAAGCTTTCTGGGAAAGGAGCTCCCAGGCGATGGCAGAAGATTGGCAGCACGCAGCCCAGCCCACTGGCCCCGAGTGCCAGAGCTGCTTCACACCCACATGGCCTTCCAGTGGCTGCATCACAAGGGCTTGTGACTGAACACAGGAGGACCAGGGGTCAAGGGAAAAATAACAACTAGAAATGGTAAATTAAAACCAGAGTAGACAAAGCCTCGATAGATCGGGACTCGCTCCCTTTTGGAGCATGCATTCCTCTGCCCGGCTCCTCCAGGGACAATGCTGAGCCCCCAGCGAGTCTGAGAGATTTGGTGCTTGGGGGACAGGGACAGCAAACAGCACCCACAGGAGCCACGGACGAGCTGACACCCAGGGAAGCAGGCTCTGTGCTCTGTGTTCATCACTGAGAATCCGCAGGACAGAGTCTAAATGCCATTGGGTTTTGGTAGCCAGTGTCCTTGCTTTCCCGGCAGGATTTCAAAGCACCTCCCAGCCAGTAGTTAGCTGTAGGCAATTCAGACCTGTCAACTTTCACACCTACTCAAGGGCAGGTATGTATGTATGTATGTCCAAGCCAGGGGTCTGTTCAATAATCCTTCCTCAGATCCTGCTTCCCTCTATTCTTTTCCAAGGTCATGGTTTTTGTTTGTTTGTTTTAATTTCAAGAATCCCTTCCCCTCATTTTAATTTTTCATACTCTCATACAGAATCTTACTCCTTTTCCTACCTTTCCATTTCTCTCTCCTCTTCAAAGGTTTCTGTCTCCTTTTTCCTGCAAAGAGTTAAGGAGGATTAGCAAACCAAGGAGTTAGAGACCAGGGTTCAGAAGCCCTTGATGGGTGGGTGTTTGGCACAGTGGTTAAGACACTGCTTGGGATGGCCACATCCCATATCTTAGGTCCTAGCTTCTTGCTAAGGAGCCTGGGAGACAGTGGATGTGGGCCCAAGCACTTGATTTTCCTGTTACTCATGTGGGAGACCTGGTGGAGTTCCTGTCTCTTGGTTTTCCCTGGCCTACTCCTGGCTGTTGTGGGCTTTTTGGAAATGAACCAGCAAATGAAAGATCTCTCCTTTCTTTCTGCCTTTCAAATAAAGTGAAAATAAATAAATAAGAATTCCATGTGTCGCAGACTTTCATAGGGAAAGGCCCAAATTAAGATGAATTCATGTCAAGAAGTTCCATTTCTCAAGGGAGCTGTTTCCTGGGAGTAATTTGTTTGTGAATCCTACTCCCCAGCACATAAACTTCTGCCAGTGGACAGGCTTCCAGCAAGTTGTTCAGATCTACGATGAAGGACGAAAATTAAAAAAAAAAATACAGCTCATTTTTTACCATGTCCAAGCTTTTCCTGTGCCCTTAATAAAAGCAAAGCTCCATTCCTTTGACCTAAACCACATCACACGGGAATGTGAATCTGCACATGTTCCGTCACTTGCATCTGTGCCAATGCAGACATCACTAATCAAGCATGGTACTTTTCACCCTGCGACCAACCTCAGATGCAGAATTCCTCTCAAAAGAAAACACAAATCCTCTTTGGCATCTCTGATATGCAGCATTTCATAGATTGCTGCTCACCACATTCACTCTTTTATTTTGAAATCTTAAATTTTATTATTTTTATATCTTTTTGCCATATATCTTTACCATATTTATATGGTAAATTACCATATTTATATGGTAATTTATATACTACCTATATATAATTTAATGTGATGTTTGATACAAAATACTAATAATACTTTCTCAACTAGGAAGCATATCATAAAATGAATACCCATTAGCTTATTAACTTAAAATAATTACTTCAATGTTCTCATTATTTACATTTATTGGAAGATTTCTCTCTACCCTACACCATTGGCTCCATCCACAAACTCAATGACTATCTTCAGAAATGTGGTGTTTACCATATCCTTGCCATCATATGTATAAAATTCCAAAAGTATATACCTATATGCATATACAATTCTTTCATATATGCACATGTGCATATATGTGCATATGTGCCTGGATATATAAATCTTTATCATGTAAGTATATATTCTTTTCTTTAAAGATTTATTTATTTATTTGAAAGGCAGAGTTACAGAGAGGCACAGGCAGAGAGAGAGGGAGAGACAGAGAGATAGAGGTCTTCCCTCTGCTGGTTCACTATAGAAATGGCCACAATGGCCCGAGTGAGGCCGATCCAAAGCCAGGAGCCAGGAGCTTCTTCTCGGTCTCTCTTGCAGATGCAGGGGCCCAAGGACTTGGGCCATCTTCCACTGCTTTCCCAGGCCATAGCAGAGAGCTGGATCAGAAGTGGAGCAGCCGGGACTCAAACCAGCATCCATATGGGATGCCAGCACTGCAGGTGGTGCCTTACCTGCTAAGCCACAGCGCCGCCCCAAGCATATATTCTTAAACAATATTTACATTTTAGTTTTACTTTGTTTCTTGCATATAACAATGACACATCTATTTTCACTGATGGAAAGCATTACATTATGTAAATACAATCCAATTTTGTTTCAGGTTTTACTAATATTATTAGGCTTTTACAAAGAGATTTGTAATGAGATTTCTCCAGCATTCTCAGGGTTCCAACATACAAAGTTATTTTTGAGGTACATATTTCAGAGTGGAGTCGTGATCTGTAATTTGTGAATATTTGAAATTACCAGCTGATGCCAAATTGTTCACTAGAGTGAATGTTCATATTTACACGCACACCAAAATTCTTAGATTTCTCATCGAATCTTACAAATACTTGCTATTTTCATAATTTATTTTCCTTTAGTCTAGAAAAGATAAATTCACATCTAGTTGTCATCTTTCTTAGCATTCCCATTTTAATAATGACATTGGGCATACTGTTATTGATTTCTGGGCCATCTGCATTTCTCCTGTGAGATGCCTGTTTATGTGTTTTTTCCTTTCTTTTGTCAAGATTTTTGTCTTTTTCTTAACATTTTCATGGGTTGAAGCTTGTTTGTTTGCTTGATTTTTAATACATTCTGAATTTTAATCCTTTGTTAGCTAGCACACCTTAGAGGTTGTGTCGGATGTTTTCACTTTCTTTATGGGATCTGTTAATGCAAGAACACCAGGATTTCATCATTTGTCTTACTAAGGTGTATGGGAGTTTAAAAATACATTCTAGATATTACTCTTGCTATACATAAAATCTGCAAAGTTGTGACTTGGATTTCCACTTTCTCTTTGATGTCTTTTAAATTCTTGTCTTTGTTGGAGCTGACGTGTGGCATAGCTGATAAAATGCAATACTGGCATTCCATGTGGGCTCTAATTCCCATCCTGGCTGCTCCATTTCTGATCCAGCTCCCTGCTAATAGCTGGAAAAAACAGGACAAGATGGTCCAAGTGTTTGGACCCCTGTCACCCACATGGGAGACTCAGATGTAGCTTCCGGCTCCTGGCTTCAAGCTGGCCCATTCCTGGCCCCTGTGGCCATTCAGGGAGTAAACCAGCAGATGGGAGATCTTTCCCTTTCTCTCTATCTCTTCCTCTCTCTCTGTAACTTTCTTTCTTTTTTTTTTTTTAAAGATTTAAAGATTTATTTATTTATTTGAAAGGCAGAGCTACAGAGAGGCAGAGGCAGAGAGGGAGAGAGAGCAGAGAAGGATTGGATGTGGAGCAGCCAGGACTCGAACTAGCATCCATATGGGATGCCAGCACCACAGGCGGAGGCTTACCCCACTGCACTATAGCGCCGGCCCCCTAAGTTTCAAATACATAAATAAATCTTAAATAAAAACCAACCTCTTGTCTTTCTTAAAATTAGTACTATTAGCTTATTGTTTACGAAATCCTTCCCTACACAACGGTAAACTAAATCAAAGTCATGTGGTTACTTCTGGAAGGAAGAATGTAACATCAGTATTGAGCTCTCCGGCATGCCTTTCCACCTGCTGGGTCAAACATGAAGGCTTACAGGGAGATGTTGATGTCAAAAAAAGTAGGCCCTTCCCAGGCCTTGATCCTGAGTGATGACTACAGGGGACAGAGTCTGCTCCCCTCCAACCCCAGTTGGACAGGCAGTCTGGGTAAGACTTGGTCATCTTAAGCCACTAAGAGGAGGAGGGAGGTTATTTCCTTGGCAAAATCCAGTCTATCCTGACTGGTATGATGATTCGTTGTCTCATCACATTTGTTAAATAACTTGATGTGAAATTCTTCCTCTGTCACCAATCAACTTTCTGGACATGTGTGGACCCATGTGTTGAGTGTCTTTTTATCCTGTTGGCCAAATTGTTAAATCCCTGCATCACTACTTTGCTATCTTAATTACCATGGTTTGATACCAGAGAAAGCAATCTCTCCTATTTGATTCTTTCAGAATTTGTCTAAGTTTTGGCTGTTTGCTCCTCAAGATAAACTTCATAATTGGCCAAATTCTATGACAAAAGTTGTTAGATTTAATGAGAAAATGCACAGATGCATTTTGAGTAAAACTCACATGATTTTTAGCTTGGCTCTTCCTATCCAAAAACATAACTCCCTATCTCAATATTTATGTTTGTCTACTTCAATGAACTTCTATAATTTCCCAACATAATATACTGTATACTTGTTAGAATTATTTCTATGTAACTTCTAATTTTGTTTTATGTATGATTCAGTTATAAACATTAGATGGGAAATTTACATATTCCAAAGGTTTGCTTTGACACACAGATAGGAAAATAATTTAGATTTTGATTCTATAGTTTACCACCTTATCAACTCTCTTATTATTTTTAATAATTTGTAAATTTTGAATTTTCTAGATAGGCAATTGTATCAGTTACATCACCTACCTTTTGAGTTCTAATTCCTTGACTTCTTGTCTCACTGCTCTGCCTAGGATTCTGTAATCATGCTGGAAAAAAGAAATGACATTGAATTTTTCACCTTTTCCTGGCCTAAAGGAAATGATTCTGCCCTTTCCCATTTTGAGAGATAATTCAAATAACAACAGCAATAAGAGGTGGAATTGGAATAGCTCTGTCTTCAACCCATAATGAATTAATAAATAAAGACACTGGACATCTGTGTTAGCATCATGAAAATGGGAGATCAGACATTGTATGACTCTCAGTAAAAGAATATAAGCCCTTAAAATCTTCCTTGGCACAAAGATTGAACTTGAATCTGGTCCAGTCTCTAGTTCCTGCTGCCAAGCTGCACCATGACGATGCAGTCAACAAATCCAGACTGTGAACGATCCTGTAGGTTCAATGTCCTGGGTTCTTCAACAGATGTTAGAAGCAAAAGAGAGCATGGAGGAGTGACTGCAGTTTTGTTTTTTTTTTTAATACTTGAATGATACTCTCTCTATATATGCATATGAATATATATTCTTTTTTAAGTAAATGAGACTAAATTATAGTGAATAGGATAATACAATAAAAAGTAAAGATATAGATGGCTATAAAAGGAGAACAAATGCTATTGAAATGGGACACAGTAGGGCTTCCAATGTGGCTGGCAAAGGTCTATTTCTGATTGAGGTGATGGTTACAAGGATGCTCGCCTCATAAAAGAAATGATTAAAGCAGTGCAGGTATTTGATCTGGTGGTTAAGACTCCAGTTAAGACACCTGAGTCCCATATCGGAGTGCCTGGTTCTGGTCTCTGCTCCTGAGTCCAGCTTCTTGCTAAGGTAGATCCTGGGAGGCAGGAGTGATGGCTCAAGTAATTAGGACCCTGCCACTCAAGTGGGAAACCTGGACTGAGTTTCCAGATTGAAGCTTCAGCACCTAATCCCATTCTAGGCATTGGGCATTTGAGGAGTGAACCAGTGGATGAGCTCACTCGCTCGCTCTCTCTCTCTCGCTCTCAAAAAAAGAGATAATGTTAATGTATTGTATATTTCTCTATAAAAATTAGATTACTTTTGGATTTTTTCTCTATAAAGAATGGTAAGTGAAGAGAAATATATTTACCTTGATTGGACATTACACAATGTATACATATAGTGAAGCATAGCAGTTACCCATAAATTTGTATAATTTTATATGTTGATATTTTAAAAAAGAATGAAATAAATGATTAAAGTATACATTTTGGGTGTTTTTCAGAATTCATACTTTATTATATAATGAAAAGATTAGTTTTTAAATATATAATTTCTGAAGTAAATTGACTATATCAAGTTGAACAACTTCCTTGTATCTATATTTATAAAGCTCTTTTTCATATTAAGGGTGCACACTTATTTTTATTAAATAATCTTTCTGCATCTGTTGAAATGACTATGTCATATGTTGTTCCTTCTAAAATCCGCTAATGACTTGAATGACATATATTGATTTACTAATGTGTTAAACCATTTTACATTCCAGTGATACTCAAATTTGACTATATTTTATTATGTCCTATACTATTTAGTCACTGTTAGATTCTGCTGAAATTTTTATCCACGTGCACAAATGAATTCACCCTTTACTGGATTTGGTATAAAGGTAATGTTGGCTTCACAGAATGAGTTGGGAACATTTTCTTCTTGGTTTCTAAAACCTTGTGTAAGATTGGAATGATCTGTTCCTTGAAAGATTAGTGCAGCTTTTTTGTAAAATCATCTAAGAGGGTTATTTTCTTCATTGAAAGACTTCTCATTTTCTTTGCCTTGTGTTAATAGTTATGGTATAATTAAATATTTTTATTTTTTCTTGACTCAAATTTGGTGGTATGTGTTTCTGGGAATTTCTTTTTAATGTTGTTCAATGTGTTAGCATAAAGCTATTCATAGCATTTTATTACTAACTTTTCATCTCTTCTGCATCTAAAGTCTTCTCCCCTTTAACTTCTTTTTTTTTTTTAATCTTTTATTTAATGAATATAAATTTCCAAAGTACGACTCATGTGTTACAATGGCTTCCCCCCCCTATACCGTCCCTCCCACCCACAACCCTCCCCTTTCCCACTCCCTCTCCCCTTCCATTCACATCAAGATTCATTTTCGATTATCTTAATATACAGAAGATCAGCTTAGTATACCTTAAGTAAGTATTTCAACAGTTTGCTCCCACACAGAAACATAAAGTGAAAAATAATAGATGATTTTTTTTAAATGATGATGAAATCAGATCAGACCTATTGTCATGTTTAATCCCAGTGAGAGTCAAGTTGGGAATTGATAATTTCTTTCTTTCTTTTTTTTTTTTTTTTTTACAGAAGATCAGTTTAGTGTACATTAAGCAAAGATTTCAGTCGTTTGCACCCCCATAGAAACACAAAGTGAAATATATTGTTTGAGTACTCGTTATAGCATTAAGCCTCAGTGTACAGCACGTTAAGGACAGAGATCCTACTTTAACTTCTGAGAGTGTTCATTTGTACCTTCTCATTTTCTTTCTCTTTATATTTACCAGAAACTTAAATTCTTATTAGCTTTTCCATAAACTTTTGGTTTAGATGGCACTCTGAATTCTAGATTTGTTTTTAGCTTCATTTATTTCTTCTGTATTTATTTACTTTGTACTTCATTCTGTTTGATTGTGTTGTTCTTTCTCTTATTTCTTGAATTGAATGCTTTGCTCATTTTCTTTAAATCACATCCTGTATCTGAGTACCAATTTGAGACCTAGCTACTCTGCTTCTGATCCAGCTTCTTGCTAATACACCTGGGAAAGCAGCACAAGATGGCCCAAGCACTAAGAACCTTGCCACCCAAGTGGGAGACCCAGAAGGAGTTCCTGGTTCCTGGCTTCAGCCTGGCCCACCCCCAGGTATTATGGCCATTTGGAGAAGGAACCATCAAATGGAAGAGGTGGCGTGTGTGTGTATGTGTGTGTGTCCCTTTATTTTTAGCACTCTGCCTTTCAACTAGATAAATAAATAAATCTTAAAAATATACATAAATATGGGCAGTCACTGAGGCACAGTAGATTAAACCTCTGCCTGTGGCACCAGCATCCCACATGGGCACTTGTTCAAGTCCCATCTGCTCCACTTCCAATCCAACTTCCTGCCAAAGGTCTGGGAAAGCAGTGAAAGACAGCCCAAGTGCTTGGGCCCCTGCACCCAGGTGGGAGACCTGCAAGAATCTCCTGGCTCCTGGCTTTGGATCAGCTCAGCTCTGGCCATTGCAACCATTTGGGGAGTGAACCAACACATAGAAGACCTCTCTCTTTCTCTCTCTCTCTCTGCCTCTCATTGTCTATAAATCTGTCTCTCAAATAAATAAAATCTTTCAAAATATATATACATATAAAATAAAAGGCCTCTAACTTACCCTAGAAAATGTTGCATCCAAGTTTTGATATTTAGTGTTCTAACTTTATATTTTCAAAATGATTTCTTTTTTAATATATTAATAAAAGTACATTCTAAATTTTGTGCTTTTATTATTGTCTTCTAATATAATTACATTGTGTCTAGAGAAAGTGAAATATTTGACACCAATTCTTTGTTTTAGATTTGTCTTATGGTACAGTGTTTTTTGATAACTTTTTCCTGTGTACTTGAAAAGAATGTTTATTCTCTAATTATATGTGAACATTAGGGCAAATTTATTGTCCTAATTTTCAAAAATTTTGTATCTTCTAAGGTTTTTGTCCATTTTACCTATTGAGTTTAAATATTCCACAGTAGTGATTGATTTGACAATTTCAAGTGCAGTGATTGATTTGACAGTTTCTTTCTCAAATTCTATCAATTTTACTTTACATACTTGAGGACTTTCTGGCTTAGAATTATTGTGCTTCCTAGTAATTTGAATCTTTTCTCACCAGGGTATAAGTATCTTTGTTTTTCAAGTGCTTTTTTTTTTCTTAAACTCTGTTTTGTTTAATGTTAATCTAACTATTCCAGTTTTCTTTTGGCCAGTCTATTTTACTTGAAATAATTGTATGTCTCCCACCCAAGTACTAACCAGGCCCAACCCTGCTTAGCTTCCAAGATCAGACAAGATTGGGTGCATTCAGTGTGGTATGGCCGTGGACAGTAATTGTATGCCTTGAAATTTCAGGGATACCTGTTGAAAGTCACACATAACTGAAGTTCTAGGTTAATTTTTTAATCCCTCTTCCAATGTTTGTCATCTAACAGACATATATGTTTAATTTAGTATAATTCTTGCCATATTTGAACTTTTTCTATGTTTTTATTCCTTATTGCTTCAGTTTTCTCACTTTTCTTTTCTTGCCCTTTTCAGTTTATCAGCTTTTTGTATTCTTGCTTTTTTTACACATACCTTTTCTGTGTTCTGTGATTTTGTCTACTGGTTTAATTTATGTACTTAATCTTCAGGGTTTTAATGCTTACTCTTGGAATTTATATTTAAAATTAAATATATTTAACTATGAGATTACCTCAAAAAGTTCAGGAAAAGAACATATCATAAAAAAACTGCACCTGGTCTTCAAAAATTTATCGTACCAAAATGAATTTATCTTTTTTAGAATGATTTATTTGTTTGAGAGGCAGATAAATAGAGATTGCCTAGATGCTACTTCACTCTTCAAATGCCCTTGAAAGCCAAGGCCAGGCTGAAGCAGAAGCCACAAACTGGAAATTCACCAAGTCTCCCATGGGAGTGGCAGGTGCCCAGGGACCTGTGTCATCTCCTCTGCGTCCCGGCTCCGCATGAGCAGGAACCTGGAGGCAAGCATCACACCCAAGTACCACAGTACAGGATGTGATCATCTTCTCCAGTACCTTAACTAATGGGCTAAACTTCCACTCCAAATCTACCTTCTAATCGCATATTTCCACCAACTTTGTAAAATATCTTCATATATAAATATTAAAGATATTCAGCATATTTAGTTCTGCAGCTAATAAAATGATTTTGAACCCTTAGCATGCAACCATTGCCCTTCAGCTTAAATGTCACTCGTGACCACCATTTGAACCTTTCCCTTTTGAAAGAACAAATTAGACATCATTTGATTATCATTGTATGGGGATAATTGTTGTTTATATTTATAAGCATATTTGCCATTTTGTTTGTTTATTATTGCTTCCTAATTCATAGGCTGCCCTCTGGAATGTAGTTTTTAAACTACATTCTTTATCAGCTCTCTTACTGATAATATGTCGATGGTAAATTCCCCACTTGTATGTTTGTGTATGTGTGTGTTCTTGAAAGAACCATTATTCCATATTTGCTGGTATCTGAGAGAAAGGCAAACATAAACTCAAATTTTAAAGGCAAAAATCAAGGCAGAGCTTGATATTTAAACTAGACAATTTGATACAATAAAAATAATGCCATTTTATATAAGAAGAAAGAACGAAGATCTAAGTTCTTCTTTTGGCCTGGAATAAATTATCCCATAATGTTCATTAATTTATGTGTGAAATAAACATATGGTACGTAGCTGCTAATTGCTTGGCTCTCTCCTAGGTGTTCATGATTAAAAACATAAGGAACGGTTTCTGGCTACAGTGAGCTCAGCCTATGAGGAGACTCATACTCATTCATCAGGTAGTTAGAGAGGATTCTGTATGTGGCATAAGGGGAAGATCTATTTATAGTGTCTTAAGAAAAAAACAAGCATCCACCTGGGTTTCATGTAGGGAGGACTGAAGAGATTTGTCTCCATAGAGGCCATGTGGGTAGAGGTGGGAAAGGCATTCCTAGAGGAAGAAAAAGAGAAAAGGATGAGAGAAAAGACATCCGCATTCCATAACCACATCCCACATTGGGGTACCACTCTGGGACCCTGTTTCCTGCCAATGTGCACCCTAGCAAGCAGCAGGTGACTCAAGTATTTGGATCTTAGCCACCCACGTGGTGACCTGGATTTAGTTCAGGGCTCCTGGCTTTGAGCTGGCCCAGCTGTAGCTTTAGCTGTTACATTCTGTCTCTCTGTCTCTGTCTCTCTCTTTCTCTCCCCACCCTCCCTCCCTCCCCTTGGACTTTCAAAATAAATAAATAAACCTTTTTTAAAAATGAAAATACTTTAGGAGGAAATGCAGCTTTAAAATGAAGGAGTAGAGTTTAGTTTGGAACATTTTGGGTTTTAGATGCCAGTGAACATTAAAATCGATGTCTGTGAAATTCTGGCTTTCAAGCTTTGTTTTTCTGACATGGGGCACCACTTAGGGCACAGCTACAATATAATTAATTGTAAAAGAATACTGGGGTTGTAAGTTCTTGGTGGAATATACCCCACTGAAAGTTATAAGGAGGCAAAACCAGGACTCTCGGAACTCTCAGAATCCACAAGGCAAGGAAGGGGCATCATGCTAGCCAACAGCCATGGAGTGTCCAAGAACTGAAGTTCACGTGACTTTGATGGCCTACTTTAAGGCCACTTCCACTCCATATACTGGTGTCTAAGATTGTGTATGTTTTATCAAGTGGTCAGGCAACAGCTACTTTATCTGCAATGGTTTAATCAAACTTCATAATGAGTCCTTACTTGTTTGGAAATTGAATGTGTCCCATAAAACATGGCCAAGATACTGTATTAAATGTCTGCTTGGACATTCTCTGCAATGTCTATAACCCTCCATTGCCAGAACAATTAAAGCCATTCTCTCTAGGACATGGAACATACTCAATAAACCAATGAATCCATCCATCTCTACTCATGCATATACTGGGGTTACCCAGACAATTCACTATTGTATTGGCTATATGCTTATCAAACTTCACCTTAAATCCTTCCTCCCTACAAAATCTCTTCCCATAGAGTTATGGGAAATGGATCTGTCTCTTCCCTTAGAAGTGGGCATCTAAGGAAATAGTCCCTGGATCTTTATAGCTATCAAAGCATCACCAAGGAAAAGAGCTCTGTGTGCCCAGTGAAAATATCTGGCAGAACCAGACATAGCTATTTCACTCTTTGCCTTTTAGATACCAGAGTAAATGCAGTAGGAATGGTAATGATGTTGCCCCAACCAATGTTTGATCAGATCAGCCTTCAAGCAAAGATTTATCCCCCTAAATATTATGCTTTGATAAAAGTACCACTGAGAATTTGTGATTATTGGAGTTTTTTTGAAAAAAAAAAAAAACAGGTTACTTCATAAGCCATTACATAAAACACTAATTATCCAATATTTCTACCAGCAGGGTCTCTTGTACTAATTAAATTAACACTGAAGACTGCTAACATCATTGATTAAGAGTCCCAAGTAGTGTATATCAGTAACAATTAGGATCATTTCATTTTGGGCAAAAATCAAATCTGCCCTTCCTTCCCCCAGGGGAATAATGACCCTATTTTCCTAATAACCAAAGCTTTCATCCAGGAATAAAGGATTTGTGATTTGTCTGTATTTTGTCGCTAATTAGGGAGCCTGGTTAGGGGCTGGCAGCCCTTAGGTTGATGATGTGATTAAGATCAACAAATCTGGCTTTGAATTTGGTTGAACTCATTCACACCACATTATTTAGCAGGTGTGTAATCCTGAGCAAAGTATGACCTTCTACTGGGTTCAGTTTCCTTTTATGTGGCCTGTTGAATGAAATAGGCCTCACCTCAAAGAATGATGATGATCATAATGAGCAACGTCTTATACAAGAATTAATTCTGGCACAGGAGAAGAGCTGAGCAAATGGTGGGTGTTATCAGTGTCAAGTGTGTTTATTGTTCTATTGTTCTATAATTTAAGACACTTCCAATATCTCTTCCTAAAACAAAGTTAGAAGGGAATGTTGAGAGGATCACAGTCTTTACTGAAAAGCAAAAATGCTGACTTTGAGTAGATCCAAGAGAGACTCCAATGGTGGATCTTTATGCCTGTCTACTTCTATAAAAATCTTATGAAGAACATTGAATAATAAATACTCATGGAGAAGATATGGCCAATGATTCCTTGAACTATTGTGAAAAGGGGAGGGGGACAGGATGGTCATTTGCAGTCTGGTCACTTTGTGGTCAGTCTTCATGTTCCTTTAGAATGCTTTGCTCACAGAGTCGAAGAGTGCCTGCACGTGTTTTGGAGATGCTACGTTGGGGAATTACAGCAACAGCAACATCATTTGTTTAAAAAGCTGGGTTCAATCCATCCATCTCCCTTTTGTGCCAGTCACTGTGCTGAAATTCCAGCATTGTCGCATTCTATCCTCATGTGAAGAAGATACTGCAATGACTGCCAGGTTGATAGAATTCTTCTTATTCTACAAATGAATAAACTAGAGTCCAAGAGAGTAAATGACTCCTCCAGGTTCACCCAACTAGAGCATGACCAAGGCAGAATTTGAATTTTATCTTCCACATTCCAAAACTAACATCCTTGAGCACAAGCACCCCCTCTCCGTATGTGGAAGGCCCTTTTCTTTCCTGTGGGCATCCGGGATGACAGCACATCCAGGAGCCCGTGGTTACCATTCCTTCTGCCTATCTAACCCCAGGATCTTTTGTGACTGTTCACTCACCCAGGGCTACTTTCACATTTTTCACAAGCTTCCAAGCAGACCGACTGCAAAATGAAGTTGGCCATTACCCAAATTCCCCAATGCGCCCTTGGCTCTCACACTCAGATTTCTGACTTTGAAGAGGCAGTCGCACTGCACTCAGGTGTTTGTGGTCCACTGTGTCCCATTCTGTCCCTCTCTTGTCCTTTCTTCCTCAACCCTGATTATCAGTCCTCACCTGAAACCTCCTTTGCAATTCTCTTTCCACATGAAGCTCCAACAGCCTCCTTGTAAACCAGCGTTTTCCAAACTGATCTAACCTGTGTGAGCCTCAAATCCCCCTTTCTTTCCACTTTTGTATCCCACCTTTTTGCAGGGCCCACCTTCCTCAGCTTCTCTTCCCTGGTACCCACTTTCCACACTCTCCCTCCAGCTCAGCATTTCTTTTAAGGCCTTTCCATCCACCCCTCCCTCATGCTCAGGCCCTAGAACTAAGCACTCCATCTAATGGACCTTCTCACTCAGCCACAATATTTACTTTCCGATACATTGGATTTATAGAGTGTTTGCCTGAATTAAAATGAGAAATTTTAGAGCAAACCAAAGCTTTTTAGCTGCTAAGCTCTGTCATGTACTTTAAATAAGGAGAGGGGGGAGTGTGTGTGTGGAGGGGTGCTTGATGCATCCACCTACCCCTGAATTGCCATTTTGTCCCAGGCTGCTCACCTTCCAACCCAGCTGGTGCCTACCTGGCCCCACTCACCTCCCCCCCAGCTACGTTAACAAAGCAATTACTGCTCATCCGCAGAGTTCTCTCTAATCGACTCCCAGTGAAATAATATTTGCTTTCCATGCCTACTTTGAATCCCACTCACTTTGTTAAAAGATTGCCTCTGGCTGTCTCCGCTGGCCTAATCTAATAGTTTCTAGTTTGTACAAGCAAAGCGGTTTTAACCACCTATATAAATAACTTAAGCAGGAGAGGACAGTCGTGCAGCCCCATTGCAGGGCTATAGGACATGACAGATCCCCAAATGATGCCTTGGCCAAGTTCCTGGGGGAGCGCCACCAGCTCAGTGGGAGCAATTACCATATTGTATCAGGCTGAAAGGACAGTCTGTCTTCCTACAGACAGGCTGATGGGAAACAAAACATTTCTGTCTGGTTTCTCCAGTGCGGGAGACCATCTGAAGTGTCTCTGGCCCCTCCATGCTGCCTGCATTTATGGTAGCACAGGGAGCCTGTTCAAAGTAGGGAGAGGTATAAGGGGCTAAATCAAGCTGTTTTTTCCCCTGTGAACAATTGCAATGCAATCCATTTGGCTTCTTGAAAAAAAATTACAATAGAATACACAAAACATGAAAATGCACCATCATTACCATGTTAATGTGGACAATTTAGTCCACATGTGTGGGTCAATAGGCCAAGGCAGCAGCTCTCTGCACAGGAATGAGCAGCTGGAGAGAGCACAGAGGAAGTGTGTCCGGGACATGATGGAGAGGAGACCACAAATGCAGAGGGGCAGGTCACTGGAGACAAATAATAGAGCAAAGGGCATTTGGCCTTAGTCTTCAGAGTAAGTGTCCTGGAAGCATGCATGTCCTTTGAGTTAGATGTGACCTCATGTTAGCCCCTATCATCCTACCACCTAAGAATCAACACAAAGTGGTAAAAGCTCCTACCAAACATATGGCTGAAGGCCAAATGTCCCTCCCAGTTCTTCAGACACGCTGGAGTTGGTAGTTAGGGAGGTCTTGACTTGTCCAACTTGTTTGAACTCTCAATTCCTGCTTCTACTGAAATAGCTTGTGTTGTAACCTTATATCCTAGATGTTTAAAACTTTTTTTTCTTCCAAAAAAGCAGCATTCCTCTGGACATTGCTATCCCTTCAATTGTTTTCACTTCCCAAAATACCACGTATGCAATACAAGGCTGGATAATAATGATGTTACTGTTAATATTATTAACATCAATAATCTTGCCAGGAACTATTCCAATAATTTTGCATATGGACTCATTCTCAACAAACTGATGTTTGTCATGTTTATCTAAACAGCACTGAAAGTCAATTAAAACAGAATATTAGACAATTGCTTCCTATTTTCAAGAGGAAATTTGCATGCTGTGTGCCTGTCATTTTTCTCCTCTTATAGTGCCCCCTTTCCATTCCAAAACTCAGAGATCCCCAAAGCTTCTTAAGGGACTCCTAACTTCCTTTATTGAAAGATTTATTTATTTGGAAGGCAGAGTGACAGAAACAGTGAGAGA